TATTTTTTTTTTTTTTTTTTTTTTCTTTAAATCTACTTTAAGTATCTCAAAAGACGGGTTCATCTTTTATTTTATTTTATTTATTTTATTTTTATTTATTTTTATTTTTTTATTTCTTCATCTCTCCTCTTCTTCTTCTTCTTCTTCTTCTTCTTTCTCCTAGACATCTTACTCTCATTTTTTTATTCTTTCTTTCTTTGTTTTTTTTCTTTCATGCTCTCTCTCCCTTTGTTTCTGTCTCCTTTTGCTTTTTTTTTTCGAATAAAGATAATAAAAATGATATAAGATATGTGTGAATAAACTGAAAAGTCGGACGGTTAATCTATCATCGACCGCCACGAAAGTTCAATTATTTAAAATGTTAAATAGTCGACTAAAGCACATAAGTGATATTATAATAAAAATACGTGTGATATGTGCAATTAATTTCATTAGAAGAGAGAACGTTCCGTAGGATGTTCTTCAAAGCGATTAGAACAAAAACGGATAAAGAGATCTTTTCTACACGTTATATGTGTGTTTTTATACGTCCTCGTTGAACTCTCTGGCATTCATCATATAATTCGTCTTACTTCTATTACTATCTGTCGGTAGAAAGTATTTATTTCTAGTAGACCGTGTCGTATTATAGTTCTGAAGGCACTGTTTTAAATGTTTACTATATTCCTTGAAGTAACAAGTTATTAAAACATCTTCGAACGATTTCGACAAGGAGAATCGTTATAAACGTCGACATAACGTTCACATGCCTCTCGTTCGATCTATATCACAAAATTCAAAATAGAATAATTTCCATACTTTGACAGCCAGTGCCAATTTGCCAATGCGATATTAATCGGGTCTGTGATCAATTAGGAATATATCGTGAGCTAATCATCATCAATCGATGGTCAGAATTCAGGCTTATAATACGCAATGGCCAGTGCGTTTCCCATTAATTATGTATAGATACTGTTATCATATTATATTACACAAACGCTTATCAATTTAGAGAGGCACATTGCTAAGGGTCTCGATTTGTTTTACAAGTTGCTCCCTATAGTAATGAACTTATAAGAAACTAGCTAATACGATTATTCAGTACAACAGCAATTTGGCATACAACGTGGAAACTGTACAAAGACGCGGATAATATATGTAATAATATTCAAAACTATTGCTTTGTACTTATATAGAAAGAGAGAAAAATGGCTAAAAAGGCCGAGCTTTTATGAACGAATACCAATAGTAGAATAAGAGTATACTTTGCAGGTGATCGATATTGAGAGCTCTATATATATCTATATATATATATATATATATACGTTTTAAAAGATGATATAAAAAAATGTCATGTGCGTAAAAAAGGATACAAGATTAGAAACGAAACAAAATAAAAGAGAAATAAAAGAAAGAAAAAAAAGAAAAAAAAAGAAAAAAAACAATTATGAATAATACAATCCTCTCGTAGATTTCCTTACCTAGGCAGAAAAACTTTGGCTACTGCTATACGCTATTTGTACCATGGCATATAAAACGCCAAATTTATGCTGCTAAGAACACTGATTGCGCATCTAGAATTAAAAAATTGCACGCAGCACACCAGTATGTATATCTACTAAATCGGAAATGTATCATTTACTCAGGAAGACCTTAACAATAGTATATACGCTTACGCTTGAATAAACCTGAATTCTACGCACAACGATCATAATATCAATGAAGCATTGATTGTACTCAGAGCGCCTGTCTTATATGCCGGAATGTTTTATATATGACATCTGTTTATTTATCCATCCACACACAGTTGGACCATTTACTTAATTATGTTCATAAATTATTTAAAAAGCCTCAGCCTTCGCAACAATATGTTCACAACGTTGCTCTGAGATACGAATGCTCTATAGAATGTACACAGTAGACAGCGAAGCGTCTAGACCATAAAATGTTTCACATTTATTCCAATGGGAAATATTTTTAAACTAGAGAAATCAGGCTGATGCAATGGCAGATGCTAAGTATAAAAATTGGCTTTTTAATATACAAAAGTTCATAAAATTCTTTTAAAAATTGTTTCAATACTCTTTTCTCGTAATAATTACATGGTAAATTGTCTGCAAAGTTATACAAGTTTGATTAGAAAAAACATTAAAATATGTATTCTTTTAATAAGAAATAAAAAAATTGATTTAACCCAAAGGGAGATAAAAAAAATTTCAAGCAATACAATATTCTGTAATATATTTTAGGGAATTTTTATGCTCCGTCATAGTACCAGCCTGGATTCATTATCCAAAAATCATGTAATTCTATTGAGTTTAGACACAGATATCTCCTTTCTGCGTCCAAACAAACGAATTACTAAGTTAAATCACAAAAAGTATGGAGTTGTGATTAAGGGTGGAATCACTCTTTCCGAATCAGGTACTGCCTGAAACAGCACTGGACATCTATGATCTACTGTTGTAAACTGTAAAATACTAGCTACATTACCACATCTGTAACAGTAGTTTGGAGCTGACCAGACTGTCACTAATTTGTCATTAAACATGTATTTATAGCCTATAAATAAAATCATTGATATATTAACCAGCACCAAGTTATATGCAATATAAAGAAGGAGTCGTATGACAAAATTCGACGTTTTTTAACGAGTACTCACCTTCATGCACCAGTTGATGAGCTCTGCAAATCAGTTTAAGGTCATTTATTTCCATAAATTTATAAGTAACTCTACTTCCAAACAGCCAACCAGCTCCTCGTGGACTAACTGTCCATCCATCCACGTCTTCTGGATCAGACCATACCAAATCACAGAAAGCACCTAAAGATAAACAATTACAAATGAATAAATATGAATATTGTGTTAAAATAATAAATAACTCTCCAAAACCTTTATGCGGTATTTCTTGATTTCTTTCAATAGTCCTAATTTGATCTAACGTTGAAATAGCTGGGGATAATCCACCGTGTACACAAAGAACTTGTTCATCGATTAACTAAAAAATGTAGAATATTAAAATGACTTATCAATCTAATGACACAGGAATTAAGAACAACTTGTCAACTTACGGCAGCAACTGTGAGCAAATCAAAGACTCTGCAACAATACTTCCATGCATTTGCATTGCCGTACTTGTTTTGACATTCATCTAATTAAAAATAGACAAGAAAGTAATACATATGTACAAGGCAAATGATATTACATATTCATATAGATACTTTGACTCGACAAGTAAAAGAACAGTATATAACATTCAAACGAACCGTAAAATCCATAGACGTGTGTAATTTGTCTTGATTCATGATTCCCTCTGAGTAATGTTATTCTATCAGACCATTTAGCTTTAAGCGTGAGTAGGCGTGTAAATGTTTCTAAACTATAATAGCCCCTATCCACAAAATCACCCATGAATATATAATTTGTATCAGGCACAGGTCCTCCATTACGGAATAATTCCTCCAGATCATAAAACTAAAATTGTCATTAATAAAGATAATAGAAATATATAACACGTAAACACAATATAAACAATATATGTAGTTACATAGTTTTAGAGAGATTTATGAGGTTAGATTGGAAACGTTCTTTTTACCTGTCCATGGATATCGCCACAAACCGTTACCGGAGTAGACACAGGTTGAATATTGGACTCTTCCAATAATAAATCACATACAATGTCACAAAGTTTCTATAAAAATAACAAAATTCTTACGGTTATTGGAATGAATTGATCGTTTCAAAGTAATCATACGAATATCGAGTATTGAGGTTATCTTCTATTCAAATCATATAATTTATCCACTATGTCATAATAATTGTATTCTCACAGACATTAATTACCTTAAGATCATTTTCCGGAAGATATTTGCATTCTTTAGCGATATCTATCCATTTATCGATGTCTGACATTTTGGATTTGTACTACGGGAAAATACCGGTCGCGCCCTCATTCAACCACCGATGTAGAGAAAAATCAAACTTAACTGCATCATACACAAGAACACTAGATTTGTATTTATTAATAAAAAATGTAAAAAACGCATACTCGAGGAATAACACTAATTCACACAGCATTCACATTTTATTCATCGATGTCCATAACACGTTGAATGGCTAATCGAATCGTCATAAATTGGATAAAATAATTCAATCGATGTTTAAAACGCTCAGTGAGCATATAAACGATCGTGAAAACGTTTCAATATGTTTGCCTCAATGAAAGCTTTCTTTTACCGTTGCGTATGCGCCTTACGAGTATCAAAGTTGACTTAAAAGAAAATGTCGGATGAAGAAAAATGGATTCGACTAATCGATATCAAAGAATGAATTAAACGAATATTTCGTTAGTTAGCATTTATCACATTCGATTATATTAAAAGATCGATAGATCGTTCGATTAAATCAATTTAAAAATACACTAATTTATCGTTATTTACATTAGATCGTTTTTACACTAGATATACGAAATTTAATCGATATTTTGGATCTACTATATAAACGAATTTGAAAAGATCATTGATAATCGATATATTTGTAAAAGCGATTATGCGTTCGATAATTCGAGTATATTCGAAATAACGTGTTCCCAATGGACATTGATCGAGTATCGAAAAGAGGAGGAGAGACAAAAAAAACGAACGCGGATGAGTTCACTTTAGTTGTTCGAATATTTATCCCGCGTAAATTTGAATTTATTCAAAGCAACCGTTAAAAAGATCGTTGAAAAAAGAGTTAGAAAGAGAGAGAGAGAGAGAGAAAGATGGGAGATAAAAAGAAAGAAAGAAAGAAAGAGAGAAATAGAGATCGGTAATTCGGTAAGAAATTAGGAAGAGGAAGAGGAAGAAGAAGAAGAAGGAAGGTTGAAATCGATCAGAATGTTAAAGTAAAAAGGTCAGCTACGGATAGAAGATATGGATTTTATCTCGGAAGCAAGAAAAGTGGGTCAATACGAAGGAGGCGCGACAGTGCGCACGCTTTGATTATCGATTGAAGCGACGTTACGTTGCTTCGAGTCTGTACGCTAGATCTCATTTATACGAAGGTAGTGGCCACGGTGAGTTGTTAGAGTAATCAGGTACGTTATGCGTTCCATTATCTACGCGCAAATAACGCGTTAAGTAAGGTTAAGCGTTGCTATAGTTGACAGGCAAAAAAAAAATAGTAGCAAAGAAAGACCAACGAGAGACCTTTTTTTTCTTTTCTCTTTCTCTAGAAAAGATGCGGTGAAATTTGGCGTGTTAGGGATAGGATACTCTTAACGAAATCGGCCATTTTGATAGCGTTTCGGGGGGAGAGAGAGAAAGAGAGAGATACCTGCAGAAAAAAACGACTGGGATCTCGTTTTGTGGCAGTTACCCTCGAGGATTGCGCGCGTGAGGAGCGGCGGTGGTAGTGGTATTGGTGTGTGTGCTGGTGCTGCTGCTACTGCTGCTATTGCTGTTTCTACCACTACTGCTACTCCTACTACTCTTCCTATTATTATTATTACACTACTACTATTACTGTTACCTAAGGTAGTGTCGATCCGTGTCAAAATCGTCGGAGAAGAGGCAAGCAGAAGATACGAAGGTAGGAACTGCTGGTATTCCACGACTTGTGAATTCTTAGGACGACTACAGGGAAAAAGAAAAAATGGCTGGAAATACGGGTATGGAACAACTAATCCCGATCGTGAACAAGCTGCAGGATGCGTTCACGCAACTTGGGGTTCACATGCAACTAGATTTACCGCAAATTGCAGTAGTGGGCGGTCAGAGTGCGGGAAAAAGTTCCGTACTCGAAAACTTTGTTGGAAAGTAAGTATCTTACTAACAAGTAGATTTGATTGTCTTCCTCCGATCCTAAGACTTATCAACGCGGCCGTCTGTCCCTCATTGCGTCTTAACAATGCGATCGATAATCGTCATCAAATAATCGATCTAACGTAGAGCACATATCCCTACTTTAACTATATTTATTATATACGCCACGCCTTGGAGGCGGTTCGTACTACTTTTTGCATTAATTTTTTGAATTCTTAAATCTAACTTTTTATTTCTAAATAACAAAAAAATATCTCTCTTAATTGTTATAACAATGACTATCTTTTTGCTATTTTGTTATCAAATGATCTTAACCCATCCTACTGTTCTTATTCGTTAATTGTTCTAGTCGATCAATAGTATCGCTAAAATCGTACGAGCGAGACCGCCCTCACGGTGACACATCGAACATCTTTTACCTTTTCGCGAAAATTTCTCTCCTAATTGTAATTACTCTTCCCATGTCATTTTATGATATCATCGCAACTTTAACATCAATGCATTTCTTTGATTCTCTTAGTCATTTTTCTTCTTGACTGCTTTTAATGATGAATGACGAAGAAGAAGAAGAAGTAGACAGTCATTGCAAATTTGAAAAATTCAAACATCTCATCGTTCCTATCTTAATGCTATATGTACTTTAAATATGAAATCGGAGTTGGCATGAATCGCATTGAGACGATTCGTTTTTTAAACATCAATATTTTATCTACCATTCCGATTTGTCAATGGAAATATTTCATCTTCCGTTTGGAAAACAAAGCTTCCTTCTTCTTCTTCCTCTTTCTCTTCCTCTTCCTCTTCTTTGCGTCTGTCGTCGAAGAAAAAGAAAATATTTGTTCTTTCTGCTAATTACAAAGTTTCTATGGAAAGTTTCATTGCGTGCGAGAAGAGAACAAAATTACACGCACGTATATATATATACACACACATTTAACATTTATACGTAACAAAGAAGAATTTTAAAAAGCGTTATTAAGCACGTCATCATTATTTCTTGACCAATTTATGAAACCCACTTAATGATATCTCATTTTAACTTGTGCAAGTTTAAATATAAAATATCATTCTTTCTTTCTTTCTTTTTCTCCATTATTTATTATATTATATTATATTATTTTTCATCCTTTCAGTAACAATTGTTTGCAAAATTGAATGTTTATTTTACAGGGATTTCTTACCCAGAGGTTCTGGTATTGTAACTAGAAGACCGCTCATCTTACAATTGATTCATAGCACTACGGGTGAGTCATCACAAATATAATCGTATTGAAAAAAAGTATGTTTGAAAAATATGTAAAAAAAAAAAAAGAAGATTATATTTGTATTAGATAAAATTAATGATTATCAAAACTTTGTACTACAGTTATGTTTTCAGTTATCATACTTCCTGTATATCTCTGAATTTGTAACAAACAGGAAATTCAGTACATTGCCATCTCTCACTTTCTATCATTATTTGAAATTCTTCTATAAAAAAGATTCACAATTATCTGTTACAATAATTAATCCTTTTTTTTTAAATTTTATTTTTACAGAATATGCCGAATTTTTGCATTGTAAGGGAAAGAAGTTTGTGGATTTTGAAGAAGTACGAAAAGAAATAGAAAATGAAACAGATAGAGTAACTGGCAGTAACAAGGGTATATCTAATATACCCATCAATTTAAGAGTTTATTCGCCTAATGGTAAATATTATTTGATTGAATATTCATTTAATAATCAGGTTACTTGTGAACTAACAGATAATCATCTTCAATTCTTTCATAGTTCTCAATCTGACGTTGATCGATTTACCTGGTCTCACAAAAGTACCAATTGGAGATCAGCCGGCTGATATAGAAGCTCAAATCAAAGCTATGATTTTTCAATTCATTAGAAGAGAAAATTGTTTAATATTAGCAGTAACACCAGCTAATACTGACTTGGCAAACAGCGATGCTCTTAAACTTGCTAAAGAAGTTGATCCACAGGGTAAATGTTTCTACATTTTAACATATATATATACAGTATACGTAAATATATAAATAATAATATATATAAAATAATTGATAAGGTGTACGTACTATTGGTGTTATTACTAAATTGGATCTTATGGATGATGGTACTGATGCAAGAGATATTTTGGAGAATAAATTATTACCTTTACGAAGAGGCTACATTGGTGTTGTTAACAGAAGTCAGAAAGATATTGAAGGCCGTAAAGATATTAAAAATGCTTTGGCAGCTGAAAGAAAATTCTTCCTTAGGTAAATAACTTATAAAATGATTGATATTATTTTCATAAATATAATTTCAAATGTAAACAATAATTATTTATTACTTTAGTCATCCATCTTACCGACACTTAGCAGACAGATTGGGTACACCTTATCTGCAACGAGTTCTAAATCAACAACTTACAAATCACATCAGGGATACCCTTCCTGCCTTACGAGATAGATTACAAAAGCAACTTCTTACATTGGAAAAAGATGTCGAACAGTATAAACATTTTAGACCGGATGATCCTGCTATTAAAACAAAGGCTATGTTACAGTACGTGATAGTAGATTTTTTTTTTTAACATACAAATATGTTTCTTTGAACTTGTCTATGTGTTCTGTGAAAGGATTTATAACAAAATTTAGTTTATTTCTAAACATAGTTTCTTTATGGGTGGAGGGTCCTGACATTTAAAAGTCAATTATTTGTTGTTTTTTTTTTCTTTTCAGATCAATTCAAATGTATATGTAGGTATATTCTCTTATGTATTTGAAGATTTTTTAAATAGACTGTGTGTTGGTTGTTTGCTTAAAAGATTCTACAATAAGCAGATGAGAAAAGTATTTTGTTTAATATATTTCGGTGAAATGATTAAATTTCAATTATTATTGGTGTGATTATTGATTTTGAATGTAGATAACACAATGAAATTGAATAACATACTAACGATTTGATACATTAGACACTATGCATGACATTTTGGGGAAAAAATATAAAGCTTTTGCGTAAACTGTATAATTGTTAATTCATTTAATGAAATGTAAATGAGAATAATTTAATGTTAAATCTCAATATGTAAATAGACGAGTAATTTTTGTTAAAAATAGAATTATGTAATTGCTTTGATTTATGATCTTGCATAATATCAAGACTCTCTACCCATAAAAAAAAAAAAATAACAACACTTAATATAAATTCTTAGATTTCACCATAAATATTTTTAAGGATGATACAACAACTTCAGTCAGATTTTGAACGGACTATAGAAGGTTCTGGTTCGGCACAAATTAACACAATGGAGCTTAGCGGTGGTGCAAAGATAAACAGATTATTTCACGAACGTTTTCCATTTGAAATTGTTAAAATGGAATTTGATGAGAAAGAACTCAGAAGAGAAATTGCCTTTGCTATCAGAAATATTCATGGTCAGTTATATTTAAAAGTATCTGTTTCAAATTCTTTCATATTCTTTTATATTACAAAAGATGTAATATTAAATATCACTATTGAAATGTTATTATAGGTATTAGGGTGGGATTATTCACACCTGATATGGCCTTTGAGGCAATAGTCAAGAAACAAATTAACAGGCTTAAAGAGCCTAGCTTGAAATGTGTGGACCTAGTCGTACAAGAACTTAGCAATGTTGTTCGTATTTGTACAGATAGGGTAAGTTCCATTTTCTCTTTTTCTTTTTATATATATAAAATTCTATACAATTTTATTAATATATAATTTTGATTATTACAGATGTCACGTTATCCTAGATTAAGAGAAGAAACGGAACGTATTATAACAACTCATGTTAGACAACGTGAACAAATGTGTAAAGAACAGTTAATACTTTTAGTGGATTGTGAGCTAGCATACATGAACACTAACCATGAGGATTTTATTGGATTTGCCAAGTAAGTATCACACTTTAATAATCTTTGTCTGTACATTATTCTAGATGTAATTAGTATTCATAAAAGTAAATAATATGATACAAGAAATTAAATTTTTGCAAGTTTGGTATAATCACTTTTGTGTGTGGCTTTTGTTACATTTGTGCCTGCTATTATATTTTCTTTGATTTTATTTAAATATTTATCAGTTACGATATATATATATATATAGTTTATACGATATATATATATATATAACATTCAATGATGTATGCTAAACATTTCTAATATATCAATAACATTCCGTTGTAGAGTTAGTTAATGCTTCCTATATGATACGAAAAAGAAGATAATGATAATAATACATTAGTTTATCACGTAGAAATCAGAATAACAATCAAATTATATCATTATTTAACAAACCAAGTAGCTTATCGTAGAATAAACCTTATATTTTAATCCATATATCATCACTAAAGTTAGAAATTATAATATTAGAAAACAAAGACTACAGTTTGTGTCAAATCATGCAAAAAAAAAAAAAAAAAGAAATGAATAATATATACATACGAGACTTAAAAGATATCATTTTAATTAACTTGTAGAGATTATATATTGATACTATTGTTTTAATCTTTGAGAAATATTTTGGTTACTGATAATAAAGCAATACGATGCATGATAACACATTCTACTATCAAAAGGAGAACAGTAATACATTATTGAATTCACATCAACGAGTGCTTACAAAACTCATAAAAACAATATTTCACAAGTATGAGCTGTATTATTAGGTGCAACATATGAACAATTTAATTTTTTTTTTTCTTTCTTTTTAGCTGTACAATTTTTCCGTTGATTTTTAGTTTTATATTAATTTATGTTTTTATTAGACAATGCTTCTTCTCACGATCAAAAGTGCATGCAGTATTATTATTATTATTAATTTGGTTCAATCTAGTTAATTTATGCTAATATATATACTCGATCAATTTTGCTTCATTCAGAAGTTATGTAATCTTAGCTATTTAGTATAAAAAAAAAAAAAAACAATATATTTCATCGCTTAAAAAATGCTTTTTTGCGCATTTATTGTAACTCATACGTGCTCTGCTGGCTCAGGTGTGACACATAATAATTGTGACAATTTTTTTATTGCTTTTTTTGTCATTTTTCATTTTTATAATGTGCAACAAAAGAACAAACAACATTTTTCTTTTTTTTTTTTTTATATATATATATAGTATCATTTTAATCTTTTTACGTTACATATATATGCATCTTCTTGATTTACAATCATTTAACACAAACAAAACATAGAATGGATATCCATATTGTAATACCAGAGATATTCTCACTTTGAATGTATACTACAATTATTGAAATGATGTGTTTTTTTTTTTTTTTTTTTTTTTTTTTTATAGAAAAGATACATGAAATTTCTAACAATATAAGTACTTATTTAACTTCCTTTTGCATGATATTTTTTTTTTTATTATTATTATTATCTAAATGCCTAATTAATATGTGTGTACATGTTAACAATCTTTGCAATAAAATTTATTCTTGTATCTCTTATATAACAATTTTGTCGTGAGAGAGAAAAAAAAACATTGGGATTATATATCTATAAAAAAATATATATATAAATATAATGCAATTCCATCTATTATTTTATTACTTCAATATAAAAATAAAAAAAAAAAACAAAAAACAAAAAAAAATATCTCTGGCAATATATTATCAATATATTAGTTAGATAATTCTTCATTTTAAATATTTATTTCATATTCATTGTACAAGCAGACAGTCTAATATAAAAAAAAAAAAATTATGTAGACAAATAAATTTTTGGAAATAACAAATAATGATGTTGCTGACAAATAATGCCATAAACTTCTTAATTTAACTTCTAGTACCATACCTGGGGTAAGGCATATTTAAAACATATATATATATACGTACAAGGGGTGTCCCATCACACGTTGCTGTGGCTCACAATCAGTCCGATACACACGTCTTTAAATCAACGAATTACTTTATACCGATATCTGTTAGAATCTTATCAAACTAACAGAGATAATCATGATTCTTTGTTAATAAACAAATATTGCGATTATAAATTGAGATATAAACTATATTTCAAGTTGGATGAAACTGCACAGAGTGTGCATCATTTTATTAAAATCAGTTCAGTAGTTTAGGAGTCCATTGCGGACAAACAACGTGACATATATATATATATATATATACGTATATATACCATAAGTATATTTTTATAATACTAATGTTAATGAAAGAAATATATTATCTAAAGGGCAACTTGTTATGCATGAATGATAATAATCATATATGCCTTGCTCTGATCGACATAACATGTATACTTTTTCCCCTACAAAATGTCTCTATTCATGATCGACTTCTTTATATTTTACAATTAAAAAAATGATTTAATTGTATCGGCAGCGCGGCGGCCAGTAGCCATAATGCAAGGTAAGAAATGTTAAAATACATTGACAAAAAAAATTTCCACTACATTTTTTGTTCCTACCATTTTCACGCTTCTTCTCTTATGCTTATCCTTCCGATAATGTTTTTTGGCTTTTACCTTTACAATGATGTTTTATATTATAATATATTTATATATATATTTATATATATATATAAATTGCAACCGACAGCAATCTCTCTTTCTGGCTTGATTTATAATATTATTCCTTATATATGATGATGAATGTATAAAAGACATACAAAAAAAATATATATATATTTTTATATTATATAATATATATATATATATACCATAGTGATAAAGTTAATTGTAACTAAAACAACTGCACTCTATGGTATATATAATTTTTTAATTCAAATTTAATATTTTTCCCACACATGCTCTCTTTAATATCATTTATTTTCATTTATTGTTTGATAATATGCGATTTTGTTTAGATTCTTTTAATTATTACATCTCTTATATGATTTATCATTTATGATGTATGTGACATTAGTACTTTGAGGAGCATAAAATTAATGGAAGATTAGTTTTTCTTTTTTTTTTTTTTGAGAAATCTTTTTATTATACGATGTTAAATAATAGCAGTAACTTTTCTTATTAGAATTTGTCTGTTGTTCAACTTGTTAACTATTCTAATTTAAATTTATTTCTCTCTTTTATTTTTATATTCATATTTTACATGTTACGTTATGTGGTTACTTAATAAGAATTTTTATTGTTTTTTTTTGTTTGTTTGTTTGTTTGAAAAACGAGATAAATAATAATTGCTATATAAATATATATATATATATAGATATATACATATACATATATATATATAAAATAATGTAAGTCATTCATGAATATTTAGACAAAAATAATGTACTAAACACAGCAACATCAATTCTACATTTTTTTTTTTTTTGGGTCCACATTCCAAACCATTTCATACATTTATTAATGTGCTTTAAGCGATAACATTTTATGTTAATAAAAAGTTGCTTCGATTGCAGGTGTTAAATAGTTCTATTTGCAGTGTGTAAATACTATTTTTTGAATGATTGTTATTACAAGGTATATTTTATTATAAAGCTTATTTTTTTTTTTTTTTTCAATTACAGGAATCTGATATATATATATATATACATACATGTCTGCATGTTTGGCATTTTTTTTTTACAGCAATTTATATTTTCAAGATGTGGCACAGTAGAATGTTTTAAAGTTTCTTACTGTTGTTTAAACAAAAAAAAAATTTTTAAAATAAGAATTGTTACCAAAAAAACAATGTGCTTTTTCAAGAATGCTAAAAGAGAGTTACAACATTATCATTTAAAATACACAACATATACGTTTGACGTTTACTTTTATCATTTATTTTTCATTTATATTGTGCATTTATTTTGCAATTTTTCTCTGTTGTTTTTTTTTTTGTTTTTTTTTTTTTTGTTTTTGTTTTGTTTTCTCTAGTCATTAAGATATATATATATACATATACTATATTTATAATACATTTTTGCTCTAATATTTATGATATAACATGTTTGCATAATTTTTGAAACCTAATGCTAGGATTTTGACCCTTGCTAGTTTGTTCGATAAAAGTGTGACTAGTGCAATTTTCTTGGTACACTATTTATGGTGGGCCTTGCACAAGAATATATACAATTATTCTATATACTTTAATACATTTCATTATATATTTATTTTTATGTTACAGTGCTCAGCAATCATCGGAAAATGCAGTTAAGGCTGGACGACATACTTTGGGCAATCAAGTAATACGTAAAGGTTACATGTGTATTCATAATCTTGGTATTATGAAAGGTGGATCCAAAGACTACTGGTTTGTTTTAACTGCTGAAAGCATTTCTTGGTTCAAAGATGAAGAGGTAAATATCATTAAAACAAAACACACAAAACAACAAATTCTTTTAACCAGTTAAGTGTGTCGATCTATGCGCCGAGTGCGCTCTGGTGTGGGTCGCGATAATCAAGCGATGTCGGATATAGTCGTCAAACACGTTTAACTGGTTAAATGCAATTGCAACGAATCTATTATAATTTATTATTTTGAAATAATCTCTCTCTCTCTCTCTCTCTCTCTCTTAATATGCATATATTTATTTTTATTCATCTTAAAGGAACGTGAAAAGAAATACATGCTACCTCTTGATGGTTTGAAATTGCGCGACGTAGAGCAAGGTTTCATGTCTCGGCGACATCTATTTGCATTATTCAATCCCGAAGGAAGAAACGTTTATAAAGATTCGAAACAACTTGAATTGAGTTGTGAAACGCAGGATGATGTTGATTCTTGGAAGGCCTCGTTACTAAGAGCCGGAGTATATCCTGAAAAATCTACGGAACAAGCGAATGGCGAAGGAGAGGTAATACATTTTGATATATTTCAATTCACTTTTGTCAATTTGTTTGTTTGTTTTTTTTTTTTTAAGATCACATGTGTAAAATTCTTTGGAGTTTTCTGAGAACTCAATGACAGGTGTTTTTCTTATTGTCAGTGAGATTTTTACACATATATATATATATATAAAATCTGTAAACTTTCTATGAAATTTTAGTTGTAAATGTATCAATGTATACGTGACTAAATATGTGTATTAATACAAAAAAAAGTTCTGGTTTTTATATTATTATAATATAAAATATATAATTAAATTGATTAGAGCGGTATTTTATGATTTATTTTAGGATAAGCAGAAGGTGGTGAGTTCTTAAAAAAAAAAAAAGAAAAGAGTGATCTCTGAATTTTTGTCTAATTTCTAATTCATTTCTAATTATAAAAACTAACTGTGTGGTGGTGTGATTATAAATCATAAATCATGTGATTCTGCATGCTATTTTTTTCATAAAATTTCATTAATATATTATTTTAATTATCTCTTTATCTATAATCAAATCTTTTTGTCTCCAATTTGGGACAACTAAAGGAAGGATACGAGGTTGGTAAAACAATAGAAAAACTGTATTCTTCTAACACGCATTACACATGCTGCATACTACACCTCCACTCAGTATATTGCACTTAATTGATCAACAATACTACGACTATTGAATCACAATAACAAAAACAAAAAAACTTTGTAAAATATTTGAATTAAGTGCTACTAAAAGATAATTTAATATACTCACTACAAAAATTGACATAAATGTAATATTTAATGTATTTTAGTTAGTATTGACTATATAATACAGATCTACAATATACACAACATAATATGTTGGTAGTATAGTTTTATCTTTATTTAATTATGTAGTCATTTTTTCTTATAAAATAGATTTGATTATTTCCATATTAAAAAAAAAAAAAAAAAAAATTTAAACTATCAAATTATTTACAATGTCATTTGTATGTTTAGGGTGGTACTGAAAGTCAATCTTCAATGGATCCTCAATTAGAACGTCAAGTGGAAACAATTAGGAATCTGGTGGATTCTTACATGAAAATTGTTACCAAAACTACTCGCGATCTTGTTCCAAAAACAATAATGCATCTTATCATTAACAATGCTAAAGACTTTATCAATGGAGAATTATTAGCACATCTTTATGCGAGTGGCGATCAGGTAAGACAATTTTATATTAAAATTATTTATTGTTATCACTTTCGTATTTATCAATAAACATTCCTACATTTTTTATCAGTTGACGGAAGACGAAATAAATATATTCAAGAATTTTATTGATCCTGTAATTGTAAGTCCTGTCCTATCAACAAAATCCTATTTTCCTAATAATCTCCTAAAAGTCATACATCATTTGAAATTAATTTTCATTTCTTTGACTTCAATCATATATAATTGTGCTATCATATTTTTATTTAATTTTAGGCATCCATGATGGAAGAGTCTCCCGAAGAGGCACAAAAACGAGAAGAAATGTTACGCATGTATCACGCATGTAAAGAATCCCTTCGCATTATTGGAGATGTTTCAATGGCTACAGTAACAACCCCAGTACCACCACCGGTGAAGAATGATTGGTTGGCTTCTGGAGAAAATCCGAGGTAAAAATAATCTTATTTTATCTTTAGTATTAACTAGAAATCAACTAATTTGCTATTATCGAATTTTACACTATGCACTTATTCCTCGTACACACTTGAACGTCATTGCCAACAGTCTTGGGTAAGATTATCATGTTTTTATCAGTTAATTTGATACCAACGAGAAAATGGTATTATCATTTTGGATCATATTATTTTGTTCATTTATTTTCTTATTAAAGATGAATTCAGTTGAGCATTTTAATATATTTTTGTTACAATTTGAAAACACATATATTTTGCGTTACAAATAAGTTTCTTTATAATTTTAATTTTAATTGATTAGATTTTATTTCTCATTTGATTATAATTTAAGCCCAGCAGTAAAAGAAGTCAGTAAAAAAGCTAGTACAATTCGATAGATATTAGATGATCTTTAGCAAGAGAATCCACTTTAGGTTATCGCCACCATCTCCTGGTGGGCCAAGACGTGGAGTGACACAGCCACCACCTCTTTCTAGTTCACGAGTACCGCCGCCTGTTCCTGCCAATGTCCGGCCAGCACCAGCTATTCCCAATAGACCTGGACCTGGTGGACCACCACCGGCTCGGGCTAGTCCAGGCCTACCACCGCCACTAATACCATCGTAAGTACATTACAATTATAAATGTGTATATATATATATGTATATATATATATATATATAAATTAATCCAAGTGAGATAAGATATTAGAAAGTGTAGAATTGGAGAGGAAAAAACCTTTTGTTTGCAGTATGCTGTGATTCGTTTTTTTTATTACTAAAAAAAAAAAAAAAGAAAAACTCTTGGCCATATTTCCCTCTTATAAAAAGATATTTCGAAAGTTGAAAAATTAGTGGTTTTGCTAATCAAATAATACGTCATATTTATTTATTTATTTAAAAAAAAAAAAAAACATTAAATTTTAATACGATTTGGGGCTTTGGTGCTAACTTCACTTTCTATTGCAGGCGCCGACAATAAGTCTTCGCACTAACACACACGCCTATTCGCTACTAATCAATATATATATATATATATACATGTATAAATATATGTGTATATATTTATATATCTATATATATATATATATGCATACACACAACATATATATTTGTTGCATCTATCAGTAATACATTTTACACAAAAACATTACTTGTTAAATAACTCCTAAAATATTCCTCCTACAATGTATCAAAAAATATTAGATTATAATAAAGTCAATAAAAAGTGGAGTGTTTGCTCATATTAAATATACAATTAAAAAGTAATTAAATTAAACAATTTATATTTGATTAAGTTTGATTTAACGAGAAAAAAACAAAAAAAAAAAATATAAAAACTGCGTTAACACCAACCAACATTTCCAAGAATTTTTATGCGTGAATTTATATATGTGTTAGTATTTAGTATTAAACAATGTAACGCATTTTTACAAGATATTTTATTTTTTCTATTGTTATTCCAAATGTTATATGTATGAATATATATATATATATATCAAATGAATGATATACTTTATTTTTTTTATATTTCTAATATTAAAGAAAAAGAATATATATACATATATATATATATATATATATAAAAAAATATATAAAAATAATTAGAAACATATAATTTATTGTTGCTTTTATAAAATATAGTTTATATGACATATATATATATATATATATATATTTATATATATAATGAGAGAAAGAGATGAGCATACCTCCACTTATAAAATTTATTGTAGCGTTTAGTACAAATTACACATTCCTAGAAAACAAAAGAAAATAACAAAACAAAAAAAAAAGAAGAAGAAAAAAAAAAGAAAATAAAGGAAAGGAATGTCAAGTAGAAATTGTGTTTTCGTTTAATTGTAAATTAGTTTGAAAAATTGTACATGATATATATGTGTATATATGATTGAAAACAAATCTTATAATAAATGGTTTTGTGTTGATAAAAAAACAATTAGATACAAATAATTCATTCGCTTGCTAACAGCATGACATTTGGGGGTAAACGGGATGGGATTAGGGTGATAATTAATTAAATAATTAATTAATTGAAATAAAAGAGAAAGAGAGAGAGAGAGAGAATGAGAGAGAGAGAGAGAGAGATTAACGTTTAAATAATATTTTAGTATCTCATCACGTGTATATATCTTTAAGAATCATCAACATAAATGTTGTTTAGCTTATCAAATTGCAATTATTATGTGTGTGTGTACATTTAAATATAAAACTAAAAAATTTATTTGAATAAAAAAAAAAAAAAGAAAAAAAAAACAAGAAAAAAAGCTTGAAGCTCCTCCTTCACACGTGTGTTATGATGACGTCAGTGTTATGTAAAAGCATGATGCCGACGTGAAACCTGTCAATTACGATGTAAAGGACAAAATATATGTCGGTGCCTGCATTGAAATTTTCATAATGAATAAAAATCGAAGTGACTTAATTGCATATACATAATAAACACTTATAATACATTGAAATATGATCAGAGAAGAATAACAAAAAAGAGCAAGAATAAATTAAATTTAATCGTTGTTGAAACTATGCATACTGAAAGATTACACATACTTCTCAGGATATTCAACAGTATATATAATATATATATATGTATATGTATATGTATATGTATATGTATATGTATAATGAAATTAAGAGAACTACATATATAATATATATATATACGAATAAAATAAATTAATTTAATTAATGAGAAGAATATAAAAGGAGATCTGTAGTAAAAGCTGAGTGTCCATGGTATGTTTAGTCGTGGGGGTGGTCTTCAGCAGAGAGTGACACAAGCTGCGACTCAGGCCGCTGCTAATGCCGCTGTGAACGAGCTGATGGATGCGTTCAGGATCAAGTAAATAAACACTGTGTTGTTGTAGCTTTCTTATATAGAATACTCATCCTTATTTACAACGTTTCCCCCCACCTCCCGTTCGCGTTATTACACACACATATATATTAATACACTGCGCATTATTTGATGATAAATTGAACGATTTTTGATCAATCGATAAAGAGAGACACAGGAGGGCATTCATTTCTCACACGTATTTTGTTGTTTGCTTTTATTGATAAGAAATGAGAATGCACTCTTATTATTATAACGCGCCACTTGAACACATCTACACACGCGATATAATACAATGATAGAAAATATATTTTCAAATGAAATAAAAATAATTAGTATGGCTTTTTTTTTTTTTTTAATTTTATTGTTATATATGCGTACTACGCGTGTGTTGTGTACGTACGCACATACATATACATTTAACGTTTATATTATCACGCATAAATGCATATGTAGAGAAATAATAATAATAATAATAATTGTATAAAGCTAACGATTGTCCGAGCATATTTATAAGAAGACATTATTATTATTAAATATAATAAGCATTTTAATTTTTAATCATGAAATTTATTATTCTCTCATAATACTTGAAAAATAATATTTTTTAAGTCTATGATGATAACAAGTTTGTCATTAAATTATTCACTTATATTATATTAAATGCTAATAATAATTATATACATTAACACATTTTTTAACGATAGATCAATATAACATCTACGTTTTAAAATTGCTACTGCGCTTGCCTGAAGAAGCATGTATGTTAATTGAACAAACAAAAACAAAAATGAAATGAAAACAAACATTAAATTTAAACACACACGACAAAAAAATTCTAATTCAAAGTAATGCAAAACAAAATCAACACTTCACACACGATCGGCTCCGACGAACATGGATATGATAGTTCGGAGAGAAAAAAAAGAAAATAGTTGAAAAATATATAATATAATATAATATAACATTACATTTTATAGAATATAATAAATATAAATATATATTTATTATTCAAACTATATATTGAGAGATCTCTCCTCCTAGAGTTTTACCATTATCATTTTATTACCATATGACATATTATTATAGTAGCATTGATTGATTGATTGATTGATTGATTCAAAAGAGCTGCACTAATACTCGTTAATTGTATAGAACTTCAGAGTATTTAACAAAAAGAAGAAGAAAAAAAGTTATAAACAAAAAAAATATATATATATTTATTATTAAGGGATACGTTAAAAATTGATTATAAAAAGAGTACACACGTAAATTGAAAAATGTCATGCTGTTGGAAAGAGTTTTGAATATCTTTCAAACGTGTTATTAACAATAAATATTAAACGAAGGAACGAACGAACGAACCTTTGAAACATTGAAATCGTCATCCTTATGATTCGCACGATTTGAACATTTTCTTTTATTTTCTCTGTTAATAATGTTTTTCTATCAATTTTTTTTTTTCTTTCTTTCTTTCACTTTTTTCAACATCCTACAACAGCGTTACACCACACTTTAATAATTATAATATTAACAAATGGGTGGGGGACGGTTGATTCTGATGTGATACACGCAGAGAGTTGGTATGGTTGGGTATGATGATAAGCGTGCGATATGATAATTAATTAAATTATTACCCGCAAATAATAATGATAATGATTCAAAAAAAAATTATAAAAAGATAAAAAACAAAAAACACGTGGCTCAGAAATAGGATGTGATATATATATATATAGCGTAGTAGAAAAACGCACTTTTGAGGATTTTGCATGAAAATCCTGGAATCGCGTATCTTTTTTCCTTTTGAGAGAATAGTCTAAAAAAAAAAAAACAGAAAAGAAATTAAATAAATCAATGAATTCCCATTTTCAATTGCGAATATGATAAGAATATGATACTCGTTATAATGTAATTTAAGTAATACATATATTTTACATCAAATATGCAAGCGATCATTTGAAAAGAGAGGAGCACTGTTATATTTTGAAATATTTGTTGTTTCGTATGCTCCTTAAATTGACGCGCTCGCAATTTGATGATTAATATGTATATGTATATATATATAAAAAAAAGATAATTTTGTCTGTAAGTAACCAACACACGATATTCGCTTTTTACACAAGAATGTATGACGTGCTTCGGCCATTGTTTGTTAATATCAAGTATAATATCTCTTACGAATATTTTTGGACTTTGTACAATGACATAAAATTACAAATTATCGTGTTGAAATAATAAAATAGCAGATGAAATAATAATATCACGTTATCTAGCTATATTTATCTATCTATCTATCTATCTATCGCATTATAAATTCGTACACATTGACATAGAATTAATGTCGTTCTTAAATGTCAATGTATAATAGGCCTAATGATAAAATATATAATATAACACGGTGCGTGTGTCACCTTTTAAATGTGTCGAGTGTTTCTTTTTTTTCTTTTTTCAATTGTCAATTATACTACGTATTTTTTGACATTACATAATCCAGAATAAGCTGACACATTTCATTGGCACAACACCTGTTGAAAACAACTACGAGTAAGGCCGCCGAAGCACATCAGAATATTCTCTACAAGCTTTTATGTATTATTAATGCTTCAAACTGCTCGTATTTAAATGCATCGTTATGAGCAATACACACGAACATCACACACACACACACATACATACCTAACACATACTAAATATTACCTTTTGAATGAATATCATATATGTTAATTACTAAGAGAGATAAGAAAAAAGTGAAAAACGTTAACAAAAAATGAGGAAGAAAAAAAACCAATTAACCCTTTGACTGCTGGGCCCTTTGACTCTAGAACGAATCCATTAATATGAACGGTGCTTTACGATTTAGGCTTTACGCCTTTAGCAGTCAATGGGTTGAATATATTTGTTTGCTTTTTTTTTTTTTTTTGATTGATTGCAACCACAATTAGTATTATTATAATATTCCAAGGATTATAAAAACGTATAAATGATGAATAGAACGTGATCGAAATAAGAAGAATATTATCTTGATTATTTCTATGATCATTTATTTTTTTATTATTATTACTATTATTATTATTATTATTATTACTAGTTTTAATTTCATCGATCGCCCTCTTTTAATTAACAAAATTGCAAATTATTTTCTATTAGTTCGAATGACATTTATTATTTGAATAAATTTGTGGTTAATGTCAAAGTAAAATTATGAAATATTTTTGTAAAGACTACATTTTAGTATTTTTCGATTGGAACATATCAAATATGACCGTGTAATATTGGCACGTATTCGTCGTTAGTTCGTAGTTTTATCTTTATGAATTTAATTTATTAGATTTAACAGATTTATTTTTATTATAATAAATTGAAATACTCTTAATGTGTGAAGTTTTCTCATCATGTTTAAACATGTTTCTCATTTTTAAAAATGAGAATCTCTATCTTCCATTAGATCAAATTATAATAAATTATACGTTAGGTAATTTGTAGCAAAAAAAGAAACAAAAAAAGAATACATTTTTTACAAACAATTGTAAAATATGTTAATTTATTAATATATGTTTCAAGAAAATTGAGACTTAACACCCAATCAACAGTTCTTTATATTTAACTTCAAAAGAATAACAAACAAAAAAACATATATAAATATAAAAAAAAAAAAAGAGAAAATGTGTGTATTCTAAAAAACCAGAAAACAATTCTCGCATCAGATCAATTTTGAAACCACGAATACGAATTGTCCAATTGCCAAAATATTATACATTTAATTTGACCAAAAGTTTTAGTAATATTATTAATAATAATAACGCATGCATATGAGGAAATGGAATAATTAATTATTCAAAAGAAAACCAAATGCAAAAAACGAGAATCCTCTACTTGTCTTCCTTCGAATTATATATGAATTATTTATAGCTTATATTACAAAAAAAAAAACAAAACAAAACAAAACAGAAAATAAGAATTCTAATTAGAAGATAATTAGAAGATTCGAAAAACGTTTTTCAAATTTTCTAATATTTAAATCTAATCAATAATTTTTCTTGACATAGTATTTTTAATGACCAAACAAAAAAAATACATTCGTTTGAATAAACGAATATTATGCGAAACTTGAATTAGAATATTTCTTGTGCGTTGCAACTGAGTCATTCCGAATGACAAATATTATTGGCTTAGAATAAAAGCAATAAAAAACGTGAGAGTGCTATTATTATTATTATTATTATTATTATTATTATTATTATGATTATTATAATAACAAATTATTAAAAATCATAAATAGCAATTAATTAATGCACGAGATCAAATATTGTATAAGATTGTTAGTTGTGTAACACGATAGTGAAACAGCACTTACAATTAGTATGGGATTGCCACGTGAAAATTAATCTACAAATAATATCATCCCATAGCACTAAACGATAACTTAGATATATTTTCAATGAAAATAAATAAACAAGAATTTCGAAAGATATTAAATACCTTTTTGAATTTATAAAAGAGAGAGAGTGTGTGTCTGCTTAACAAGATGGTAACTTGATTGAATAATATCGTTTATTATTTAACTTTATTATTTAATTATTGATTATTATTCATGTATTTTAACGAATAATTTAATTTTATCCTTTTAAAGATTTAAAAAAGGGAAAACGTAAGGAAAATAATAAAATGAAAAAAAAAATGCCTAGAAAATGCTAAATAAAGGGAAAAAAAAAATTAGAAATACAGCCGCCATTTGCAAAGACGCAAGAAATTCTTTGCTACACGTCCTATTATAATATAATATAATAGAATAATAATAATAATAATAATAATAATATGCTTACATATTCACAACCCTAATCTTATACTGTAGAGTTTAGATCATGTCCAAAATAACGTTAGGAACAAAATCTAACGAATGTTATTTAAAAGATTACTTGTGTATTGGTTAAATGTTTTTTCTTTTTTTCTCCAAAAACCAAATAATAAAAAGGAAAAACCAACCAACAAGATATTTATTATTATATACAAAATATTCTATTGTAACGATGTGTAAGTGTTTGACACACGCGATTGAAAAAAAGAAATTACACACCTCTCACACGTACAAAACAATTTTATTGAATTATAAATGTGTATATAGGAGATAATATGTTATAAAAAGAAACCATTAAAAAAAAAAAAAAAAAAAGACAAAAAAAAGTATATATATATATAGTATATATTATAAAATTGATTAAGGATAAAAAAGAAAATAAGAAGAATTGGTTTTATTATGCGAGCGTTGAGCCACGCATTTCTGCTGGGGGGGTGGGTTTTTATTTACAACTACTAGAAACAATTTTTTAAAATAGTATAAAAAAAAAAAAGATATTCTAATTGATTTATAAAATTTAAAAAATATACGAACTACTATTAGTATTCAATTCTTTCTTCCCCGTATGCAGGGATGCGTATTCGCGTTCGGTGTGCATTATTTTCATCGTAAAACCTCAATACTTCAAAAATTATCAAATATTTCTTTCCAAGCTTCCAGGATGTAATAATCGCGAAGTAATATTAACAATTAATGCAGTAACTTTGTAATAATTTTAATCGATTTGAAAGGACTCTCTCTCTCTCTCTCTCTCTCTCTGATCCAATCTATTTGATTATTTTTATTATTTGATGATAATTACAATATTGTAAGAAAAATTAGAACAAAATTAAGTAAGAAAGTCCTTTCAATGGCACTTTGTCTAGCTTGTGTATTTTTGTTTGTTTGTTTAGTCTCGCATGTTATGTATTAAAAAATTACTTATTTGTGTTTTTATTTTTTCTTTCATTAACTACATATTATTAGGTTGTTCGTAAAGTAATTTTGTTTTTTCTTGACACACAATTTTGACATTAATCAAGGCAAATTGACAAATAACAACAACGTGCAATCGTTGACAGTTTAAATTTATCAAATGAAACTATTTAAATTCACTCGAATAATTGTAAGTTTAATCTCGAAACAAAAATTGTCTTCATATTTTTACTCAAAATTAAAACAAAATTACTTTCCGAACAATCTAATATATACTTTTGAATGATAATATTAATTGTATTAATTATTATGATTGTACTTTTTTCTTTCTTTTTATCAACGAAATAATCAAATTGTAATTGTAAGCATCGATCTATACGGGCTCCTCTCCCTTATTAACAATTTTACTTTCTTTCTTTATGTTTTTGTTTATTGTTTCATTTGCTTTTTATTCATTTTTTGTTGTTCTCTCTCTCGCTCTCTCTCTGTCAAGCTTTTAAATTGTTCGAAAAAGAAGCAAGTATTCATAAAATATGTATGTTGTAGGCGTCCCGTACCTAATATTCCTCCCCGAATTCCTGATAGACCATATTCCGGCCGACTAAACTGAGATAATGCAGCATCAACAAAGGACACCGTTTGCACTTCCGTCCAAGGAGAGAATAAGGACTAATAATTCCCTCTCCATCATGGACACTGAAATAAGAAGAATGGATAGAACTCGTCGTCTGTTGGATGACGAAGAGGACAAATACGAAGAGAAGATATAATTAAACCTAGCACCTTTTTATCATGGATGTAAGAAGGAAAATTGTTATCCAAGTTACGCATACCCGTTTCTTCTGAAGATCATCGAATCGGTAACACACAGATTTCGTTATTTTTTGCGTGCTTCCAAAGGATACGAAGAGAAATGTTCAGGAATCGAGTCGTTGGAGAACGATCAGTATTATTAATAGCGTTGATGAATAATCCCAATCGAAGATAAATCGAAACGTAACTTCTATCTTTCTTTCTTTCTTTCTTCTTTCTTTTTTTTTTTTTTTTTTTTTNTTTTTTTTTTTTTTTTTTTTTTACACCAAGATATTAAATCCAAATGATAATCTTACGTGCACCTTTTTCTTCCTTTTTCTTTTTTTTTAATAATCTTTACTTATCGGTATTTCATATCAATATTATTATACCTCTTATCTGTAAGATCGGCAATAATAAGATAAACATTTCTTTATCCTATAATAAGATGCATGGGTTTTACAAAATCTTTTATTCAAAGTCTTCTTTTTTTTATTATTATTATTATTATTATTTGTAAATAGGAAAATTTGAATAGTTATGTTTTTTCTATACACAGAGATAAAAAGAAGATAATCATGATTTATACCTCAATTAAGTTGATATTAGAAAAAGACGTTTTATTAGGAAGGTATATACTACTTTCTTCGGTGCTATTGAAGGATAAATAACGAAGAAGAAGAAAAAACAAAAAAAAAAACAAAAAGAGAGACGAGAACAGAGCAGCACCCTGCAGCATTCCAAAATACATTTATTCTCGAGTGATAAAAACTTCGACTATCATCCCTTTTTTTTTAATTAAACAAATATGCTTATTCTTTCCATTTTTTTTTTTTTTATTTTTCTTTATTTTATCTTCCCCCAATTCCCACCTTCCTCCGTATTAATTTATTTAACTTGAAATATACTTTTCATACCGATGATGCCATTTTATAGTTTTTCTCCTTTTAACTTTAAGTCGCTTCTTCATTCAATTAAGAATATAATTTAGGATAAGATAATTTTTAAGAATTAATTTGTATAAATAATGCAACAACGAATTTTGAACAAATTCAAAAGCGGTGTGATACATAATAGATTATTATTTTAGGTATAATATATAATACTTGAACTTTAGTCATAAATGATTGTCTGTTTATTTTTTTTTCTTTTTCTTTTTTTTTTTTTTCTACCGCAATACGAGCAACGTTTTTTGTTTATCTCTTTGTATGCATTTTTTTTTTTTTATATTTGTTTATATATATATATTACATCTTATTATGTTAAAATTATATTATTTGTGGCAACTGTTTATGCGTGTTCTGAAAAAGTGTTTTTTTTTTTTCTTTCTTTTTGTTTATTTGTAATTGGAGGGCAGCGAGTGTTGTGTGTATTTACGTATGTACATACATATATTATATATATATAATAAATAAATAGCATATATATATTAAAGAAGAAGAAGACAAATAAAAACGCCAAATAAATGGATCGATCGTGCGTCATCTAATAAAAATCATATAAATAATAAGAAAACGTCTCTAAGTGGTATGGTGTTGTTGTTGTTGTTGTTGTTGTACATAGATTATTCAATAGAATAGTATTATACATATACGTAACACATGTATGTACATAGCATACTAAAGAAAAAAAAAAAACAACAATTTTGTATTATCAATCTTTTGAAAAAATGCAAATCCATTAGAAAAATAATATGCAAAAATGACTGACGCGACAAATGTATAATAATTACTACGAAATAAATGATATTTTAATACGGACGTGTAAAATAGTCAATAATTTATTTAAAGGCTTTAATTGTTAAAAGAGAAGAGAAGAGAAGAAAGAAGAAAAGAACAAATTAGCAAGCTTATCACATAATTGACATTTTAAAAATATTTACTCTCAATATCATCGATATAATAACAACACCGGTTCTAATATTATTATCATCGTCATCATCCTTTCTTTCAAACGAATAATAGGATATTTTATAAATATCAAAATTCACATATTGAAGGCATAACATATTATTAACGCTCTTACTACTTTCGCCGATAGATTGTAATAATAATAACACCATAATATGATAAGACTATTTTCAGAAGACGGATCGATAGATAAATATTTCTCCCCTATTTAAAGCAAGATGTCTTTCTAAGCGTATAACTTTTCATATATTATTATTATTATTATATTTTATCACACATTATTTCATAGATTTCTTTCTTCTTTTTTTTTTTATTATAAAGAAACAATTTATGGAATTATTAAACAACGTTCAAATTATGAATCAACGTTATTTGAACAACATTCGTGATTTTTTTTTTTTTTTTTTTAAATAGATTTTCATATTAACATTTTTAATATAATTTTTATAATAATAAAAATTTCTTAACAATATAATTTAATTAATTGATAAAAAATAAAGGAGTGATATTTTCTCGTGCAGGTACATTATCCGATATATATATATATCCAAATATATAATATCGTTCATCATTAATTCTACTCCTTTTATGCAATCGGAAGAGATTTGTGAATATAAAAATGAAATGTTATTGAGAATGTCTCAAGTATAAAGTATGTAATTGAATTCTCCGTTAATCATTCTGTAAACACTCCATGTGTTTTGTAAGAGCCTCTTGTGAGCTTTGAACGAACGCTGTATTCATAGCTTCGTAAGATTTATCCATTAATTCTTGTATGTTATCTTTGGTCATGTTTTTTGTTGAAATTGGTGGTAAAATTGTAATATAGCTAGTACCTGGTATACAAACAAAGGAATATGTAAGATTATTAAATAATAATAATCATAAAAAAAAAAAACAATGATAATTAAGAAAGAAAGATCATCGTACCAGAATTAAATTTCTTTGATTTACTATGCAAGAAGTAATATTTTGATACGACCACAGGTAAAATTGGTACTTGTGACGTTATAGCTAAATGAAAAGGTCCTTTTTTGAAAGGTATCAATGTATTATTGCTATGTCGTTTGCCTTCTGGGAAAAATAATACCTTCATCTACAAATGAAAATATTAACAAATATATATATACATATATCGAGTTTTAACATATATTTCATTTATTAAACATTAATAAAAAATAATTGTTTGTCAAGAGATATAATTACTTTAGAATCTTGTATATATTGACACGTTGAATTGATAGCATCACGCGATTTATTTGAATTATTTCTGTCAATAAAAATTGTACCCCATAGCCATGCAGCAAGACCAAATGGTCCAAAATATAAAATTTCTTTCTTTGATATAACCGTACACCTATCCATAACTAGCCACAATTCTGCCAATACTAATTAACAATCGTAACAATACGATTAATGTTACAAAATTATTTGTTTGTTCAATTTCATTGAGCAAATCATCTTACCTCCCAAATCCAACATACTCTGATGATTTATCAAAACGATACAACCAGAATCACGAACGATATTTTCTTTACCACGTACCTCGTAATCTATTCCTAATACTTTATAAGATGATTTACTTAAAAGCCATGCAGGTACCCTAGAAATATATTTTATTAACAAATAGAATTCATCAAAATTGTTTTTACTTTTATGAATATAATTAATTAACTGTGATATTATAATAATAATAATAATACACTGTTACTTACAACGCATTCTTCCAAGATCTGATATTGAAAAACATAAATGGCAAATAAATAAGTGTATAAACTAGACATTCTAATCCAAAGATCAGAAATTTCGCTCTATATCTGAAACCTTCGTTTAAGGTGCATATTATTACCAATAGTAGAACAAGTGCGAGGCCAATACTGGTACAAGAAACACCTAACATCCTAAAATGATAAAAGTTACTATAGACAAACAATATCAATAAACAATTAAGATATTAATTTAAATGATGCAAGTATCGCGCGTTCAGGGACGAGAACAATGGCGAAATTTGGTATTTACAGCAAAGGAACTTTCGAGTTCTTAATGCCAGTTAATAATAATAATAATAATTTAAATGATCAACACAGAGAAAAACATAGTCAAAATATATAAGATTTCTTTCTTATTATTGTTTCGTTCTGTTCTGTTTGTATGTTTGATGAAAGTAACAATTTACATACGTGATGAATCTCGATGCGTTTTTAAGTGATTTTGATTTAGTAAAAGCTTTAGCTTGCGGTTTAGTATTTGAAAACAGTGATATATGTATATACCTGGTTCGTTCAATGACAATATCTTTCTTACATGAGTACACTTCCGCTTTAAAGGTCTCTTTTTCTATTTTGTTACCGACAAAGAGAGCACTGATTCGTCAATTAAATGATTCCAGTCGACACTACTACCTACAACCGAGCGCAACGTAAAAACTTACGCGATTTGATGAACCCTATACGAAGAATATATATTTTTTTTTTCCTTTATACAAAATTATTACTAATATTTATGACCTTCTTCTTCTTCAGTATTTTCATGAGTTACGATCTATTGTTTTAGATAGATTTTTGTAAATTCATTATATTTAAATAGCTTATCGGAACAAATCAATTTATTGTATAAATAATATTTGTGTTATATTTTTATATTACGTAAAAGAATGTTCAAAAAACAAAAAACAAAAAAAATGTATGAATTACTTCGAATATATTTCTGTACTAGAGAAAAGAATTCTTTTTTTTTTTTTATCATGTTTCAAGGTCATCGGTATAATTTTTTTTTTTTTTTAAATTTAAATTTACAATTTTTTGCACGCGAAGCGTACCATTTCTCGTATTATTCTAAATAGCAAATCATTGGAATATTATGTCGATAAATAATTTATTCGTGAAATATTTCAAAAATAGTATTTAAAAAATGAACGCGTTATATTTGGAATTGTTGTTGTATTTTTTTTTTTCTAAAACATGCAACGAAACATGCTATGCAAATTAGAACAAACTCATTCATTTATTTAATACATACTTCTTATCATTTTTATTACCGTCATTTTTAAAACAATGAAACTTTTGGCAATTGTAAAAACTTAAAAGTATAATTTATTTTTCATTTAGTTTAATTTTTTAATTTTTTTCATGTTTTTTTTTTTTTTTCTTTAAATATTTTGAACATTCTTTCAGTTAATTATTTACATTGTTAAATCTCTCGTCAAAAAAAAAAAAAAAAAAAAA